ACTTAGTAGAACTTTAAAAGTAAATTTAAATATCATCATTGTTGTGGTTATGTGTTGTGTGTGTGGGAAATATATGTAGGGACTTAGAAATTCAGACAGTAAAGACAAAGACACTTCACTTTGTATTCCTTGTGGGAGAGGAGCCTTGGAATGTGTTGGACCACGCCATCCCCTTGGTCAAAACCAGAGTGGCTGCCCATGTCAAAACCAGGCACCCAGTCTCTGCCCTGCCCCTCCTCTGGCCCAGCCTCCTGCTCTTCATCGGATTCGCTCCCAAATCCTCGCATGGGCTCGTCATCCAACGAGCTTTCCTCATATTCACTATCAGCGATGACTATGCCTGGAGACGGGAGAGTATCAGATTCAGATCCGTCATCATCCATCTGACTCTCTCCGTCCTCAAACTCTGAAATTTCTTTCTTTTCCTTCTCGTCTTCTTCCTTCAATCCTTGAAATTGATTTTCGCTCTCACCAATTTCATGAATCTGGGATTTGGATCTCAAATCCACAGAATCCATTTGTAGGCGGAGGAGGGTATAAGGGAAGACTGATTTTAAGATGGAGAGAGGGCGATGAATTTTGAGAGGCGGCTGAGAGAGGCGGAGAAGGAGAGACAGAGAGAGAGAGAGAGGAATAGATAAATCTAGGGTTTAGACAGAGGAAGCGAAGAGCGAAGAAGGAGAGAAGCAGCATGGAGGTGTAAATGCAAATAGGGAAGGGCAGGTGTGGCGTAAATGAGAGGAGGGGTATATTTGTCTTTACACTGCCCTTTTTTGGGTTTGGGAAGATATTTTTAGGACGAGAAAAAAAGGGAAGTGGGAAGATGGTTTTAGGACGGAGGGAGTACTATTTTAGTGTGTGTGTGTGTTTATATATATATATATAGAAAGTTTAATATATGAAACATATATTTTCATCCTATTTAAAATACTTTTCCCAATTATAATGCTACTAATGCTATGTTGCTTAGTGATTCTTAATCATGAGCGTCGGTGTGCATGCAGGAAAAACCCAGAGTTGTTCGGGCAGCTTGCTAAAGGTCAAAGCCCCAAGGTAATTTGTTACTCCCTCCGTTCTCCTAAGATTTTCTCATTTTGATTTTTTATGGTTTTAGAGAGAGTTGAAAAAAGGTGAAAGTTTACCATAATACCCTTAATAAAAATGGGTAGAGCGTATTAATTGAGGTTGGTGAGTTGTAGACTTGTAGTAAATAAAGTAAGTGAGGATATTGTGGTATTTTAATTGTTAAAAAGGGTAATGAGAAGATTTATGGTGGACAAATAAAGAGAGTTAATGAGAAGATCTATAAGGGAGAGATGGAGTAATTGTTACTCCCTCCCGGCCTTCTTTTTTATCCCATTTGTTATTTAATTTGTCCAATATATACTCTTTCAATACGAAAATTATTTTTCTCGTTTTGCTTTATGATGTTTGACTTAAGTTGTTTTTAAATCACTTTATATGAAAAGTGGTGTTAAATTAAAAAATAAAAATTACATATTAAAAATATACATTAAAAGATCTATAAAACTAGGTGTGACATGACTATATTACTTTATCAAATGAGTAATGAAAATAGGCCAACAAAGTAAAAAAGTTCGACCATTATCTATAAGTGGAAAAAGTGAACAAAGTAAAAAGAAGTTTTATCTAACTTTTTAAAATCTTACAATATGTGCAGTTTATGGTGTTTGCCTGTTGTGATTCAAGAGTTTGCCCATCTCACGTTTTGGATTTTCAACCCGGAGAGGCATTCATGATCCGCAACATTGCGAACATGGTCCCACCTTTTGACCCGGTTTGTATTCTTCTTATCATCCTTTCAATCTTTCATTGTGAACCAAAATAACCTTAAAATAATATTGAAAAAAGTAAAAGTGTGATTAGAACTTGTTTAGAAGAAAGATGAATAATTTTTTGAGGAATTTACCTAAATATTACTAAAGTATATTGATTTTCCATAAATAACATTATATATTTTTATTTCTCAATGTACCACTTTTAATCATTATCTATTAGTCATTATTCAACATCTAATACTCCCTCTGTCCCATAAAGTGGTACCCATTTTGACTAAAGTAGAAATTAAGGGAGAGATAATTTTGTGTTGACTTTCCAAAAATATCTTTGATGTGATGGGTAAAAGTAGGATGTGATGTGTAGATTATTAGGAAAAAGGTATGATGGGAATAAGGATAGGTAGGGTTTGAAAAAGTAAGGGGTAAAAGTGGTTTTTTAATAGAAATGGGTAGGGGATTGTGGGACACAATTTTTTTGAAAGGTGTAAATTTTTTTGGGACGGAGGGAGTATCATTTTTAGTCATTATCTATTTTGACCGAGTATCAATATCTAATACTTCCTCCGTCCCATAAAGATGGGTACATTTTGACTAAAGTAGAAATCAAGGGAGAGATAATTTTGTGTTAACTTTCCAAAAATACCCTTGATGTGATGGGTAAAAGTATGATGTGATGTGTAGATTATTAGGAAAAAAGTATGATCTGATAGATATGGTTTGAAAAAGTAAGGGATAAAAGTGGTTTTTTTAATAGAAATGGGTAAGGGATTGTGAGACACAATTTTTTTAAAACGTGTAAATCTTTTTAGGACGGAGGGAGTATCATTTTTATTTAATTTGATCTCAAAGTTTACCGATTTTGACAAAAAAAAGTCAACAAATGCTCAGGGACGGAGGGAGTAATTTTTAACTATTACTCCATCCTTCCCGTAAAGATATCACAGTCGAATTTCGTGTAATTTAATAAAAAATTTAAAAAATAGTACATGGTCGATTAACATTTATTTGGGAGATAGTGAAATATTTATGAGCGGATTAATTAGCACAATATATATACTGTGGTATTTCTCGTACATCTGCGGTGATTAATCATTTATGAGCAATTGGATACTCATTTTTCTAAAATTCAATTATTCTCGAAAATGAGTATTCAGATACTCGAAAACTAGCATTGCGATTAAATAGGACATTATGTTTGTAGTGTACGTAATCCTAATTCACATTGTTAGACAATAATAATAGTATTACTTGTGGTAGCATTGGTTGTGGTAGTGTTTCATTATTAGTCAGCTTCCTAATCTTATTTGTGGTAGATGTTGTATTTTAGTTAGTCTCTAATCTCTATTCCTAGTTGTGTTAGGAGTCTCTTCTATATATACTCTATCATGTACTTCATAATTCAAGGAGCAATATTATTATTCCAATATTTCAACACACATTATTATGAAAGTAATTTAATTCCATTTGTGTGTATATATATGGGGCGTCTAGGCAAAATATTCCGGAGTTGGGGCGGCCATAGAATATGCTGTATTGCACCTGAAGGTAACTACTTTTTTTTTTAACACGAATTAAAAATGGATAATGCTTTGTTTGGATTGAATTGAATCTTACTCTCTGTGTCCCTAAATGATTTACATACTTTCCTATTCCAAAATCGCGGGAACTATTGTTTATTTGTGTGTTTTTTTACCATTTGATGAAATAAAATATTTTTATAACTTCTTGTTGTGTAATACAATTGGAATTGGAAATTTTAAAAAAGTGAACTAATTTAGTGAAGCCCATCAGGTGGAGAATATTTTAGTGATGGGACATAGCTGTTGCGGGGGAATAAGAGGTCTCATGTCCCTTCCAGAGGACGGGGTCACTAAGAGGTCTGTTTAAAACTTACTATCATTTTGTAAAAACAATTATTTCGAACCACATTTGATCCTTGGATTTCCTTACAAATGGCAGTGCTTTCATCGAGGATTGGGTTAAAATCGGATTGAATGCGAAGACGAAGGTGAAATCTGAATGCAACGATCTCGACCTCGATGCCCAATGCAACATGTTGGAGAAGGTAATAACATGTGGAGGCGTTTCTTCTTTGTCGAGTTCAAATTAAACTAATAGAGTCATTATTAACAACGTTCATTCTACATACTCTCGAGACATATAATTGACTAAATCAAAATAGAACATTAATCTCTTTGATCTTTGAGTGAAATTTTGGACAGTAGAATGCAACATTTTCAATCAAATAAGGCTCCATTGTGTTACAATAAAGAGTTGTTTTGGGTTCTAATATATATCTTTTGTGATTTTACAGGAAGTTGTGAATGTGTCATTGGGGAATTTACTAACATACCCTTTTGTGAGAGAAGCTGTGGCAAAGAAAGCACTTTCCCTCAAAGGAGGACACTATGATTTTGTGAATGGATCTTTTGAGCTATGGAACCTTGACTTCAACCTTACCCCTTCTCTAAAGGTTTAAGCTTTTGGGTTTTAGCCACTTTGCCTCAAGTTTTTCTCCGCAGGCACTTGTGTAAAAGTCACACACAAAGAATGCTAGCTAAAGGCTACACTGTTACAATACAATATGGACATAGCATATAATCTTCACAAGTTTATTATGAATAAGCAAATTACATACACGACATTGTCTTTAGACCCTACTCTTGCATAGAATATATTGGTGTTTTTCGAATTTTCGCAAGATATTACCATGCTGGCACTGGTACTATGACATTTTGTGAGATGTTTGGACAGATTTTCAATTGTTTAGTTTTGTTTGTTGTACAATTTGTATATCATACTTCCTCAATTCCATTATTTGTCTCCTTTTTTATCATTTATGTTCGCCTCATCATTTGTGTAACATAAGTATCCTATTAGGTCATATTTGTGTGGTTCACATTTATTTTTATTTTATCTTTTTAACTATAATATCAACCAATAATCTTATTTTTCGTTTTTATGACCCTTCCTCATGTTCCAAAAATAGTGGGATGAGGGAGTACCATTTACTCAACTAGAGTAGAAATAAAATAGATGGGTAGTCATGGGAGTTTTAGTATGTACTATCTCCATTTCATTGCACTTGTTTAGTTTGACTTTTTCAAGTTAAACTGGATAAACTATGAGCCTCAATTACTCTTAATTTATATTGTATATTAGTATAATTAAAAAATTGTGAAAGTTCTCAACTTGATAAATATAATAAAAACATTTTTATACAAAAATACATTACAAATTTTGTTTAACTGAACCTTAAAGTTCACTCTGTTCGACTCGAAAAAGTCAAATTGGACAAACACACCGAGACAAAGAAAGTAGTTTTTGCTTGTGTATGTTCATATGACTTGGCCTCTAGGCTGGTGAGCTTTGGACCTAGTTGGTGGTTATGGTAACGTGGGAGGTGTGGGCTCAAAGGAATCAATTGGTGTGGCATAATAAAACCATCCAACCAAGGGCGTTTGTGATGATAGTTACACATTGGCATGAAGAGTGGGAGGCAACACAAAACCCTCGGCAAGATACTCGATCAACCTTGGGGGCGCACCAATCAAGGTGGAAGACTCGCACTAGCGAAACTCTCATATGTAACGGGGACGCAGCTTTGGATCTGCAGTCGAAAAGGGCTCAAGTGGGAATGGTGGTTCGAGAAGCAGGTGGATGCTTTGTTCGAGGAGCATACAAGGGGCTTGATTTGGGATACGTCGATAATGCACTAATGGCCGAGGCAATGGGCGTTCGAGAAGCGTTGACGTGGCTCAAAGGGAACTATGTTTGTCAACCAATTGAAGTGGAGGTGCATTGTGAGACGATTTTTTAAACGTTACAAGCAAACACATACAGATGATTTCTCTTATATTACAGGTGTGATTTCTGATCATTTATCATTAAAAGTTGAACTTTTTCAACTCTCATGGACGATTGTAAGAAAGTCAACAAATCAGGATATCATTTGATGACTAGAGTATCTGATTCTATGTCTGATTGTTTGGAGTGAATATTCATCTATCCAAATTATATTTGTGATGCTTTGCATTTTGACGTAATGAAGTAATGAAGAGTTCTATTAAAAAACAAAAATAAGGGCAATGCTTACTGCAAACACTAACCTTTCCAAACCTAATTATTTTTTTTCTCAACCCAATTACCGGATAAACCTACATGATTGTTAGCCCGAAATGACATTTTTATCCTTTCTCAACCTAGTTACCGAGTAAACTATCTTCACTAACCTCTTAAATTTCCTATTAAATTTCCTTCAGTGTCGTCATACATGAAAACAATAAAATTGAAGCCTCCCTGCTCAAATAATTACTTCTGGGTACCTTTCGATTTTCTAGTAATAACTCTCAGATTCGACATCATCTGAAATGTACTCCGTGAATCCTTGATTTTTTTGTAAGAACTCTTATGTCCTACATTATCTGAAATATTTACTCTAAAATTCTTAAAATTTGTGATATTTTACTAAAAAGGTACATTTTCGCTATTTATACGTTAGATTGAAAATTCAATTACTTTGAGAAATTGAAGAATTTTCTTTAAATTTTATAAAATTATGATGATCAGTGTAAAATTTAGTATTTGTTAAAGTAAAAAAAAAATCAATCATAACAATTAAATAGACAAAATGTACTTTCGAAATATATTACCACAAATTCTAGAAACCCGGAATATATCTTATTAAAAATTTTGAGTGTTTTTAACAAAAAATTTAGGATATCTCGATATATATATTTAAGATGTAATTTTACTAGAAAACAAAAAAACAAGAGTACCCTCGATTAATTTCCTCCTCCTGCTGCTGATCCCGAATCGCCGTTCGACGTTGACGGCCACAAGCTTCCGGCGAGATAACGCTCTCACTCGACCACCGCTGCCACGCTCTCCCCTGTCCGCAGGTCTAAACCCTAGCGCCAATTTGGGGATAGTCCACGACCAGCGAGTCAGGGCGCCAAAAAGGTGAGTCAATTTTCATTGATCTTTTTGGGTTAAGATTTGTTGTTGAATGCCTATTTTGGAAATTCTGTGTGGTTTAATTGCCAATTTGGATTAACTTTATATATAATACGGATCGGCCCGATCCCATGTGCTTACTGTGTATCTTGAAAAACTGGCTCCAGTTGAATGTCCATGGCGATGGGCGCAGGAGGTCCTTTGTTGTGCATAGGCGATCTTCTTAGTGACATTGGTGAAGAAGACGGGTCCAATTGCCACTGTAACATCCCCTCCCCTACGGGCGGTGACCTCAACTGTCCCGGTTTTAAGGAATCCAATCCCGGTTTCAAAGCTTCAAATCTCACCAAGATCTTTCTGGAAAAGTATGAGGACCTGAAAGAGGGGCTTGCCGGTACTGATCATTCGTGGACTGCTCTCACGCTCGAGCTGTGCTCCGCCATGCAGACTGCGAATAAATTGGTCGGCTTGACCCACCGTGAAGTCGGCTTGTTGTCCGAGAATGTTCGGAAGCTTGAGCAAAAAATCAATATGAGGGATTCAAACGTGGCCTCAGCAAAAGCTATTCAAAGTTGTCTGAAAGGGAAATGGAACGCCTAATGGTGAGTGAAAATCGTCTTCAACTTACAACTCGCGTGTTTAAAGGGATGTTGTTTGTCTTGAAATGTGCATTTTGACTGTTTTTTCTTCTTCGTTTTGCGCATGTACGCCCCTGCATTTGAAATACGACTTGAATTATTCGCATGTTTTAAAAGAACGAGGCGTTGGGGTGAGAAGATATTATTGAACATTTTAGCAAGTTTGTATACTATTACTAGCCTCGTTTGACAAGATATAAACTCCTAAAGTGATTATTTTTAGTTTTATCCACTAATGCCTCGTCCTTATGGGAAAACATATATTACAAACAAGTAAATTAGGCTATAAATGTTGTATAACGAAAGTAAACATTTTTTCTGTGGAGATAGTGAGATTCAAATGGAGCTAAAAGAGTCATTATTGACAATGTTCCAGTTTTGAGCTCATCATGGACTAAATTAAAATGAAACATCATACTTCGTTTATGTGAAGTGTTGGGAAGTCAAAGCAACAGTGCTCTCTGTTTCTACATGGGTAATGTTAATCCTATAGAAGTTGAGATTATATTGGGTTGTTGTTGTTGTTGGATTCAAATGGTATCGAAACTATTCAATCTGTATGCATTTTATACCGTTACTCAGTTTTTGGTACCATAGGATGCAACATTTTCAATCAAATAAGGTTCCATTGTCTTACAATGAAGAGGTAAAATGTGTTTTGATCAAGTTTTGGATTTTAAGATATCTTTTCTGATTTCACAGGAGGTTGTGAATGCATTTGTGAATTAACATACATACCGTTTTGCGAGAAAAGCTGTGGCAAAGAAAACTTTTTCCCTCAAAGGTGGACATCATGACTTTGTGAATGGATCTTTGAACTTTTGGGTTTTTGCCACAAGTTTTTTCTTTGCAGACACTTGTGTAAGATCTGCTAAGAACTAAAGTGTTACATTATAATATAGACATGGAATATAATTTTTACAGGTTTCTTTGTTATTCCTCATAGAGTCATAGTGTATGTATACACTACTTGTCATTGAATGGGATATATGACAACTTTGCCTGTAGCATGGCCAGTTTGGAGGTAAGAAAATGCTTCTGCAACTTTGTCAAAAGGGAATGGACCTTTGGGGTCTATCACTGGCTTCACCTTCCCAGTTTCTAGGAACGGGGCGAGCCTAGTCAGCACTTCTCCTTTCGAGGTCACGACGAACCTGAACCCGGGAGGTGTGACCGCACCGGTTAGTACTACCATGCTCCCTCCGCTCTTTACCGCCTTAACCGCCCTTTCCCCCTGCCCTGCATTTTCAAATTTATAATACTAAAAATACATATTTGCTCTCATTATTGAGAAATCTTATTTTTCTTGACTCTAATCTTTGTTCAAAACATCATATTTTCATAAATAAGAAACATACCAACTGCATCATAGACAACATCAAACTTGTCTAGTAGATCTTCGAAGTTTGACTTGGTGTAATCAATAGCCAAATCAGCACCTAAGCTTTTCAGCAGCTCCAGTTTTGGTGTGCTTGATGTAGCTGCCACCTTTGATGCTCCAAATACATTCTTTGCCAGCTACAAATTGGTGTAAAATTTAACAATAAAATTTACGTATTTAAAAACAAATTCCCAGAAAAAAATCTATTCCAAGATCATTTTAATTTTACGAAATTATTATCATAATAAACCACTAAAGAAAAACGATATTGTTTGACAGGTGAACAGTTAATGTAAAGTTTATTTAGGAACAGAGGGAATACCTGAATCACGAGAGACCCAACTCCTCCGGCCCCGCCCAAGACGAGTATAGACATCCCGGAGGAGAACCCCACCCTTTGGAGACCCTCGTAGGCGGTCTCCAAAGCGAGAGGGAGAGAAGCAGCCTGTGCAAAAGTGAGATTCTTTGGCTTCAAAGTCAAGAGCTTCTCCTCAGCCAGTGTACTGAGCCAAGGACCCATACTGCTTCGGTCCCTCCAATGGGTTCTCGTTTATGTTCCCGTAAACTTCATCGCCCCGCTTCAGCCCCTTTACTCCGCTACCGACTCCGACCACTACTCCAGCAACATCATACCCCGGCACTGTCTGAAGAAGAAAAAGAAAACAAAACAACGCATTAAACATCTTTTTTTTCTTTCAGCGGTGTCAAAAAACCACTTCTCGTGATTGTAGGCCCAAGAAAGGTTTTATACTCTAACATGTCGCTTTCACGTTCAGACGAGATTCGTGTTAATTTGCTAGAGCACTGCATGCGAACATTATTTTTCTTAAAAAACTGGGTGACGGTGAGGTTCGAACTAGTGACCTTTTGGGTGAGTAATGCGCGTAAGAGAGGACGACTTACGGGGAGAGGGGAATCGGAGGCTCGGAACTTGCCTTCCCTGCGCTTGAAATCGACGGGATTGAGAGCAGCGGCGCAAACTCTGATGAGCACATCACCATCTTCATCATATCGGATCTCCGGAACCCCGACGTTCTCTTCGAGCTTCATCTTCTCCACGCCTCCGTACTCTGCGTAAACCCAGCCCTTCATCTCCATTGGCAATGGCAGTGCCAGAGAAACGTCATCAGTGGGTGAGTACTTTCTTCGAAAACCTCTGTTTCTTCTTTCTCTGTGGCCAAGAGCTGCTGGAAGAGGAAGAAGAAGACACTGAGGAGAACAGTGCTTCCATTTCTTTTTCTTCTTTGGAGCTTTATACATTTATTTATTTAATGAAATCTTTATTATTCAATAATATCAATTATTATCAAATTGTATCATAGTCCAAATTCAAGATTTCATGAAAATCTACTCGAGTCTTCAATTTTCAAATGCAAAAAAGACTCCCGACTAAAATGTAGTAAGAAGAAAAAAAAGATCGCAAATATTGACTCACTAAAATACGACTTTTTTTCATTTTTTTGGAAAATAAGATTACATCTATTCATGAATTAAGATGCAAAAAAAAAGATTAGAATGACTAAAAAATTATTACCACGATCCTTCTTACTTTGATGTTGTCACCACACTGCCATAATGTTGTAGTTAAAATTGACGGTCAAAATTTGTCTAATTTAATTGTAAAAAATCAAAACTCGACAAACATGTTGAGACGAAAGTAGTATCAAGGTTATTGTAGTGATTTTGTGGGAAAAAATAGAGAAGAGAGAAGCCTTCAAGTTTCAAGTGGAGCAAATTACAAATCAAAAAAATAATACAAAAGTACAAATTGTTATACACTTTATACTCCATAATAATTTACTCTTATATTATTTATGTAAGAAGATACATGTTTCTTTCTCATATGAACCTTAGGTCCATACAAAAATTCATCATACAAAAAATCATTCACTTGGAAGAATCATCGAAAGACGATCTACCACTACGATTCCTTCCATTTCTTCTCTTCGACGCCCACCTCTCCTTAATGTCCCACAAATTATCATCTCGCGAATCGCCAGAGCTTTTCAAGCTCTCAAATTCGCCTTGAGAAGATCTTCGGATCTGAGCAGACTCAGCTAACAAGTCACTTATTATCATCTCGGTCGTCTTGGTTGCAATCCCTCTAATGTACCCAGAAATGGGTGCGGGAGGAAGAAGGGCGGGCTCAATCAGTTGCTCCAAGCTCAACTTTGACCCAATCCGCCCTTTTCCTTTTGTGCACGAAAGATAATCGGTCACATTCTGAGGTCGAAATGGATGGCATAGTTCTTCATCAACAAGTAGGGGTTCCACTCTCCAACAACCCTCAAACTTTTTCATGAACCCACCTTTCACTTGCTTGAATTTCATCTAACAGAAGAATAAAAAAATTACATGAACTACTTGTAAGACAAATGCTCTTTTGGTGTCCACACTATAGAAGATACGAAGATTGACATCGCTAGTGTCTCACACACAATTAGTGTCTGGCGTGGTTGTCAACCTTGGTGTCATCCTCGGTTATAGTATTTCCCTTTATGTGAGAAGATACATGTTTCTTTCTCATATGAACCTTAGGTCCATACAAAAAATCATTCACTTGGAAGAATCATCGAAAGACGATCTTCTACCACTACGATTCCTTCCATTTCTTCTCTTCGACGCCCACCTCTCCTTAATGTCCCCCAAATTATCATCTCGCGAATCGCCAGAGCTTTTCAAGCTCTCAAATTCGCCTTGAGAAGATCTTCGGATCTGAGCAGACTCAGCTAACAAGTCACTTATTATCATCTCGGTCGTCTTGGTTGCAATCCCTCTAATGTACCCAGAAATGGGTGCGGGAGGAAGAAGGGCGGGCTCAATCAGTTGCTCCAAGCTCAACTTTGACCCAATCCGCCCTTTTCCTTTTGTGCACGAAAGATAATCGCTCACATTCTGAGGTCGAAATGGATGGCATAGTTCTTCATCAACAAGTAGGGGTTCCACTCTCCAACAACCCTCAAACTTTTTCATGAACCCACCTTTCACTTGCTTGAATTTCATCTAACAGAAGAATAAAAAAATTACATGAACTACTTGTAAGACAAATGCTCTTTTGGTGTCCACACTATAGAAGATACGAAGATTGACATCGCTAGTGTCTCACACACAATTAGTGTCTGGCATGGTTGTCAACCGTGGTGTCATCCTCGGGTTATAGTATTTCCCTTTATATATATACCCAAATGCACGAATAATACAGAATTACCGTGCGATCTTCTCTATTCTGGTCTACTAAGACATGGACTGATATCGTTCCCGACCACCAAAGGAATTTCCACAATGCAGCTTGTTCCAGTTCCACAACCTGCCTTGATCCTTCATCAACCAATACCTTCCTTGATATCACTTTCTGATACGTACATATACGCAAAAGATGTTTTTATAAAATCTTACTTTTAAGAAATGAGTTTAATAAATCAATTAAGTCATTCATGTCAGGAATGATCATACTCTATCTCTATAGCAATATTTTAGACAATTCATCAAAATTTCTTTATTGAACATGCATGAGATCAAAACTTCTAAATCTGTTGATATACTCGACACGAGATTTCATTGGAGTACTTAACAGGATGTGATTACCTGAATGTTTTTGAAAACCTTCTTATTTTCAGGGTCAGTTACAATGTTGAAAACCGCATCCGGTGGCAATCCAACGTCGACTTTCAAGTTCAGTTTGCATAGAGAACCCTTAGGTACGGTCACCTGTATAAGTCATTCAAGAGATCAAAGGACACCCAGGTGCACAAAGCATCCCCTGTTGACAATGGTCCTGGTAAGGGTCCCACCAATATATGTGACTCTGGCAACCCTTGCAATTTTGCAAGAAACAATGCTAGTTAACTTTAAAGATGACACCAAAGTTGACAACACTAGAGACAATCACCCACATTGAGTCGTCGGTGAAACACCAATGTTGTCATCCATGGTGTGACTTCTGCAAGTGGCCGACTTCCAAAAGTCAAACCCGTTACCTCATGACATACAACATGAGATCAAGAGAGTAAAAAAAACAAGACATGAATAAAAAAAGTAAGCTACACTAAATTCCACAAGGAATATGTTAAAGTATAAAACTTCAAGTTGGTTCTTTAACCTAGAGGTCAAAAATTATGTCAACTTTGCAACATATGTCAAAATATGTCAATTCTTTCTTTGACAAAATATGTCGACTTTGCAATATAAACCTTGTAACGAGACATGACTAAAACAAGAATCCATTCTTTTTCCAATATGTGTATTCCATTCCATGCAATCCAAAATGGAGACATTAATCTGACCTCTATGTGTGGAGGATGATCAGTCCATGTAGGATCATCTTTCCATGGTTGCATTTGCTTCTCTAGATCAACATCTAAGACCATTGATTCCATTAACGCGTCTCCATCACCTCTCAGCCTTTTAAAGTTTGTCTGGAAATCGCAAAAGTCGAGCCTTTTAAAGAATGGGAAAACATGGTCATAGAGCAATCATCATTTTACTAACAAGTGCTATCAACCTCCATAGACTTTCCAATTTTCGACTGCAAATCTGAGAGAAAGGAATTCATAGCTGAAATGGACTATATCAAGTGTCAACTGCTCTCGTCTTTTGGGATTTCAGCGTTCTGCAAATCTAACTTCATCTCCCTCTGCAACAGCCTAAATTAATTGTAAATTAATTGAAATCACTGCTTGTTCTGCCACATGCAACAAGATTCCAAATGTTAGAAGCCATCTAGTTGAACTCCCTCAGTCTCTAAGTCCAGATTTGGTTGTCCACTTTTGTTTTGCCCATAATTAATGGCCAGTATACACTATCTAGTAAAACAAAACATGGGTAATTAACAAAAACATCCCAAGGATGATATATTAAGCTTCTTGACATCAATGGAGCATTAACCAATTCCAAAGTCATTTTTATATACTTACATGATGACTCATTTCATTCAAGCCCTAGATTCTATAGGGATTCAAGCCCAAGCTTCAAGAACAATTCGAATGCGAAAAATTAACAAGGACCCAGTTCAAGAACCACCTTGAATTGCTGGGGGAGAAGTATGAATAAGATTCAGAACCAAAATTAGAGACAGAGATGGAGTTGAATGCCAGATAGAGAGAGAGAGAGAGTGTGTGTGTGTGTAGAAATAGAGCAGAAAACAGATTCACTTACAGCAAAATGATATTTCTGGGTAGAAAAGAAGCTCAGTTCTTTGAAGATCTCTGCTCGTCGATTCTTGAATTTATCTCTTGTTGCCCAGTTGAAGAATCCCTTCAATGTGCTGAGTTGAGTGGCTATTGTTCTTCAGTGGACTCTACCAAAATCCTAACTGCAATTATTGCATTTGCCTTGTTGTAACTAGGGGTGAGCAACTACCAAACCGATACCGAAATTTCTTGAAAAAACTAAGAATACCGAACCGAAAAAATAACGAGAAGAACCAAACCGCACCGAATCGAATGGTTGGTACGGTATTCGGGAACGGTACGAGGTGATGTCCCATACCGAAAATCTCGTACCGAACATATATACTAAAATATTATAAAAAAATCTCATACCGAACTGAAATATTTGGTACGGTATCGGTACGAGCTAAATACCGTACCATACTCACCCCTAGTTGTACTGATGGTTGGCTTCTCTTTTTTTTAGTTTTGCATAAATTTTAGTTCCCATGACATTGGGAACCAATGTCATGTGATGACTCGAGAGTGCTTCGATGCCCCGTTCGTAAAATTGACATTTTCTATGTCCCCTAACCCCTCCGATAAATCCCCCACCCCGCCTCGACCCGAACACAGCCCCCACCCCCCTTCAATTGCATCCCACAAGTTGATTTTGACTTTGGAATCAGATTTTGACTCCAAAGTCAAAATCAACTTGTGGGGTGCAATTGAAGGGGGGTGGGGGCTGTGTTCGGGTCGGGAAGGGGTGGGGGGTTTACTGAGGGTTAGGGGCATAGGAACCATGAATTTTATGAACGGGGCATAGGAACCATGAATTTTATGAACGGGGCATCGGAGCGCCTTGGGTCATCCCATGACATTAGTTTCCAATATGATGGGAACCTTCCCCAAATTAATGTTACAAAGTAGTTAGAAAACTTTTTATCCCTAATCTTTTCTGTTTTTTTTTTCTTTCAAAAAAAAAGAACCTTTTTTTTGTTTTGATTTTTTTGTAAAATTTTGACACTCTTTAAGTCTTTAACTATAAATTAAATACAATTCAAATAAATAAATGTTAATAATTTTATATATCAAAAACATATTCTATGATGAACTCAATTATATTAAAATTTATTTTATAACTAAGTATAAATTTTTACTCCCTCCGTCCCGTTTTAAATCGTTTGTTTTGACTTTTGGGCATATTTAAGGAAAAGAAAAAAACAGAATTGATTTTTCAAAATTATCATTACTTTTTAGAAGGGGTGACTATGAATTAGAAGATATGGTGAAAAAGAGTGATTTATTTTAAGGGTAGTTTAGGTATTTTATTTTTAAAAGTTCACGATAACAACTAACAGACAACTTATTTTGGGACGGAGAAAAAAGACAAACATGCAATTTAAATTGGGACAGAGGGTACAAATTTTGTGGTTAAAAACTGTCATAATTTGACCAAAAAATCAAAATATAACGATTTTTCTTGGAAAGAGATAGTACTCCATATCTTTCCTAATTTACATAAAATCAAATATTAATCATCTTTAAAATTTATTTTTGTTAATCAAGTTACATAAATCTTACGGAGTATCGTATACTCTCTGTGATGTCTGAATTTATTTCTTTTTTTAAATTTGATATACTCCCTCCGTCTATTTTTATGTATCCATTTCGAATAACGGAAAAAATTTCATCTTTTTAAAATTATTTTATTTACAAATTAATATATCAAAAAAAGTACAAATTACATTATTTAAAACTACATTTAAAAAAAGCTATTCAAAATTACATTACAATAAATATATTAGAAATTTCAATTGAAGTTGATGTCATATGCTTTGACACCATCATCATGGAAAATGCCAAAATGCTTCTCAACCTCATTGCCACCCTTCCCATTCTCATCAAATAAGTCAAACAAGAAAACCTCTAACCTAACCCTGGCCTTTTAGGGGTTCCAACATTTCCCAATGCCCTTGCCACAACATTCCCATTATAAGCCAATGCATTGCTCAAAGTCGCCGCCTCGCCGCCCGACGTCGGCCAACCGGTCTCGCTAACCACGACCGATACCTCCCCGAACCCTTCTCGCTCGAGGGCGTACACGAACGCGTCAACCGTCGCATCGAACATGTTGTCGTACCTTAAATTGTTGTCGGTTTCCGTGTCAGTGGACCTGAATAAGACTCGGTCCAGTGACACGAACTTCTGCTCGCTGACACAGCTGAAGTACGGGTACACGTTGACCATGAGCGGTGACGAGGTGTCGCGCAAAAAATGTAACAATGGCAATAGGAGTGGGATGAGGGTGGGGTCAAACGCTCCGGCGGATGGAGGGTAAGACGTGGAGAGAATCGACGCGGCGTGTGGCGTCGACACCTTAATCCACGGGAACCCTAGCTTTTGTAGGGCTTGATGAGCATTGACCATCGCGTTGACGAGGAACGGAGAGTAAAACGATTGGTCGTTTTGGAAAATTTCATTGCCGACGGCTAAGGATACGACTTGGCCGGATGGAATGTGGGCAAAAATGGTGGATTGGAGCCATTGTATGGAGCTCTCCACGCTGTCGTTAGACAGCGTGGGGAGAACTTCGTTGGGAACGCCTACCATGAGCTCGATTCCGGTGCCGGAAAACGCGTTTAGAGCTTCGGCATTGGGATTGAACAGCCGGATTCTTGAAATTCCGGTGGACTGGACTGCCTTGGCGACGGCTGACGGCGGTGGGAGGTTGTCTCCTACTCTCCCATAACAAACTCCAACCGGTGCACTAACTGCACACATATGGAAAATGTTCATATATAATGGCAGGATTGGCAGCAAACAAATTAAATACTTTTCCCTTTCAACAAACCCTTCCATTTTTTACTTTTAACCAAAATAAGAAAAGTATATGTATGGTTAACTTTCTAATTTTACTCCTGATATGATGGTAAAAGTAAGATGTGACAGTTAGATTATTAGTGAAAAAGTATGATGTGATAGGTAAGGTATAAAAGAATAGGTAAAAGTGATTTTTAATAGAAAGTGAAAGTGTTTTGAAAAAAAAAATAAAAGATAGAAAGGTTTTTTTTGAATTGGAGAAAGTATTTGAATAAATCCAATCGTACGTTTAGCTAATTACTAAAAGTGCAAAACCAATTAATTTGTCTTTTGTATATTTCTGATTTGTCTTAGTCAATAATTTGCAAAACCAATTAATTTGTCTTAGTCCATTTCTGATTTGTCTTTTACAGTAATTTAATTTGCTTAAATGTTAGCATACGCTTATAAAAAATGAAGTTAATTTGTCTTTTGTATTTTATATTTGAATAAATTAAACTAGACAAGAAATTAAAAAAACTATCCTTTAATGGACGTGTATTAGTCATAAATGGAACATTTATTTGACTGTCCATAAATTACCTTCTTCTTGTACAGTAATATATTGTCAAATTTTATTCATTTTCAGAATTTATTTTTGTTTTCAATTTGTTAAAATTATATATATATATATATATATATATATATATATATATATATATATATATATATATATATATATATATATATATATATATAGTTTTCCAACTCAATGTCTTATAAACCTCTTTATATGTTTCTTTTCAAAATTATTGATTTGGGGTATACTTTAAAACAGTTTACAGGAATTACAATGCAAATGAGTTAATAATATTTTGAAAATTCAATCGAACAAAGAACTTACATATATGATTGTTTGAATTTAATCTTTTAATGCGGTTTAATTAAATATTTGAAGTCAAAAAATTTTAATTAGCATAGCACAGAAATCATGAAATAAAATAAAATTTTAAATATGAATTAAGCATTAAAAAACCTGTTGGCTGGGGAGAGAGGGAAAAGACATAAGAATAGAATAAAGGAATGAATAATGGAAGAAGAATTTGATGAGTAGCCATTGCTATATTTTAATGTAAGTTCAAATAAAAATTATTATGTGATGATAAGTGCCAATATAATGCAGCTGAGCTAATATATATGACAACATATAAATGGATTGAATGTGTTGAAAATATGAACGAATTGTTTTTAATTATAATTATATTTAATGTTCGTAGATTGCATGTAGTTATGTTTTTTTAGGTTTGAAATGATCATTATGAGCGACTTATTTAGATAGATGATTGTTTGTTTTGAGGTATTGTGTTACGTTAATTAATATAATTAAGACAGGGCATAAAAAAATATAATTAAGAGAATTATATTGATGTGCTTGGTAAACAAATTTTTATACTTCCTCCGTCCCTAAATGGATTACAACTTTTTTTTCTCTCTCTTCTCGATAACTTTTGTTTGTTTACGCGATTTCATTAAGTATTTGATAAAATAAAATATTCTTGTCACCTCTTGTTTTGTAGATCTTTTGACGTAGTTTTTTAATATGTAATTTTTATATCTTATTGATATACCAATTTGTAAATAAAATGATTTCAAAAAGTAGAAAATTTTACTCCGTAATCCGCAATTTGTAATCAAATTGGGGACGGAGGGAGTACTTGGTACTATGTTTGATTCAGGAAATCTAAAAGGAAAAAGAAAAGAAAAAAAATGGAACCAAGTTAAACGAGAAAATAATTTTTAATTAGAGGAAATAATAATAAAATATTGTAAAACATGTTGTGTCATTGTAAAATATCATACTAGCATAAAATATTAGCGCATGCATTCGGGATACAAAATGAGGTACAATTCTTGATATACAAATATCATTTCCCCAATTACATACCAAATGATTGGGGATTTGGGGGTTAAATGTAAAATAAGGGAGAAATACAAGATATCTATTTATAGGTTGGTGAATGTATTCTAGAATCTCCTCCATTAATGGCTAATAATATACTCCCTCCGTTTGGAAAAAGTCTTCCCACTTTGACTATAAGGCAAAATAAGGAAGTGTTAAAATTATAGTTGACTTCCAATTTTGTCCTGATGTCATGGGTAAAAGTAAGATGTGATGGATTTATTATCAGAGAAAAAGTATGATGTGATAGATATGGTATGAAAAAGTAAGGGTAAAAATAGTTTTTTAATAGAAAGGGAAAGTGTTTTATTGGAAGTGAAAAAAATGAAAGAGAAAGTATTTTTGAGTACGGAGGGAGTAAGATAGTATTATATAATAATAAGAGGTAAAAACCATAATATGTACTCCGAAGGACAGGTTCCGGGTAAGAAGGGCGGGCAGTGAGACATTTCCTACGTACCTTAGCTTTCTTGGATCAAGTGATGACTAATCCCTATGAAAAAAGTCAAAGGGAAAAAAAATCAATACAGCTTTAATCAATAGTCCTTGAATAAATTGTAAAAGATCAACAGATGAATTTATACAAGAGTATTTTTACTATATGGACCTGAGTTCCTTTTAAAATACTCCGTAAAACTTAATTAAATACTCACGAAATGTTTACTTTTACAATAAATAGATTCTTTTATCCTCTCTCCTCTTTATCATTTCAATGTCAAATCTCACCCACCCACTCATTTCTATACTATTTGGGGGGAAAAAAATAATGATTTGACTCTTCCTTAATTTTGTCTAAAAGAGAATATTGTAATCTAAAAGGGGACGGAGGGAGTATTTTTTAGTCAACATTTAATTTATAATTAAATAAAAATTACATGGAATATTAATTCGATAAAATAATTCTTTGAAAATATTTTACAAGATAAATTTAAATGGTACTCCGTACATAGTAATAAGATCAGTCTTATGTCCACAAGACATGGAGTTTTGTCGGCATTAATACAAAGAGTCTGCACTTTAATTTGGCGGGGCCATGAATTTACGGAGTAATTAAGGAATTAATAAGGTTGCCAATGATTTAAATTACATAGGCTTCACACGACATTGGAATCTTATGTCATGTGATAATTCGGGAGCACTTCGGTGTCTCTTTCAAAAAATTGACGGTTCCTATTCCTTGTAAACTCTTCATCCTGTATCGATCCGGACACTCTACCCACCTTCTTCAATTGCATCCCAAGTTAATTTTGACTTTAGAGTCAAATTTGACTCCAAAGTCAAAATTAACTTGATTGGTGCAATTGAAGATTAAGCGTGGGGGAGTGTGTTCGGATAGGGACTAGAGACGGGTGGGGATGTTTATCAAAGAAGTAGAAACCGTTAATTTTACGAACAAGAGACCGAAATGTCCCCCATGACATTGCCTGGAAATATCATGGGAATCACCCCGTTTAAATTAAGTTTATCTTCTTTAAAATTTTTGTCTGAACTCCAAATTTGAAAGGGGGTTATCTATTTTTATGCAATCATTTGAGTGGAACATTCAAATTCGAGTAAATAAAATCATTCTACTAAGACTACCGTCAAATTCGAAGTTTAAATTACTACTCCCTCTTACTGAGTATTTGTCTATTTTTTGACTTTTTTACTCAGAATTTATAAACTTTGACCTTAAATTTAATAAAAATGATCTAAAATATTGATACCAAAATATTTTTATTAGATTTATTATATCAAATATTTTCAAAATATTATTTTATCTAATTAACATACAATGTATATTTTATTTAATTATAAATCAAAGGTTGAAAATAGTTGATCGGAAAAATTAAATCTGGACAAAGACAGGGAGGTAGTAGTTAATTACTCTTTTTCTTGCTGGGTAAAAAAGTAAAGTAGCCTTATTAACTTTTGACCCATGATCCAAAGATATGCTACTACTACATAGGAGTAAAAATGAAGGTATTACATTCTAAAGTGCAAAAGCCAAAAGGCAAATTCTATACTGTTACAAAAAACATGATCACATTTTCATCTTTTTCTCACATAGAATTAATATAAATAGGAGCAGCTAGATTCTTAATTTAGTCCCTCCCATTAGTCCCAACAACATCTCCAAATCAAACTCCTCTTAGCCTAATTAACTAGCTAGCCTACTTTGCTTTAGTCTCAAGCAAGCTAACAAAAGAGATTGAAAAAAATAATGTCCCAATCCCAACCTCAACTTTACCCTGAGGTTCGCGGCGGCGACGGCGGTGGCATTTTCGTCATCCCGACGCCAAATTTTCCATTCATACCACCGCCGCCAGACCATTTCACGTGGTCCTACTACTCCAACAGACCAATGGCGATAAGTTTTTGCATTGTGGGGGCCATCTTGTTCTCCGGCATTCTCGCGTCCCTCGCCAGCCGTCTTTTCGGGAGAGCCGACGACAAAAAGGGCGGCAAGAAGAAGGGATCAAAGAAGAACAAGGGCAAGGGGAAGGACAAGTTCCCGGGGGAGTGGTCAGGAAAGAGCAAAGGGGATATAGAGATGGGGTTTGGCGGGAAGAAGAAGCATGGTAAAGAAAGCTCTTCTAGTAATAGTAAAAAAAGCTCTTCTAGTAAAAACCACAAGAAGTTACCAAGTGGTGGAGATGTGGAGATATCCTTTGTGTAGAAATCAATATGGAACTTTATATTTTCAACAACTAGTTAAATTACATCCTATGTAAAATGTTCAATGTTCAACAACACAACAACAACAACAACCCAGTTGAATCTCATTACAGTAGGGTCTGAGAAGGGTGTGTGTACGCAGACCTTGCCCCTACTCGGAAGTAGGGAGGCTGTTTCCAAGAGACCCCCCGGCTCAATGTTCAACAAGATAAATATAATAAAATTATTTCATTAGATGCAAAAGGTCTTTCTCTTTTTGGCGCTAAATGTCTGGAAAGGCCTTTTGAATCGATTATTCCCAGATAACTGATACAAAAAGCTTCCCCACGGCACCAATTATGGGCGCATAAACACCATTTTGCATTGGTTTAATAGCCGATGTAAAAATATTTGCACCAATTGCATCACTCCTTTTTACATTCATCAGTTAGGAACCGATGTAAAAAGTCAAAAAATAATTGATTCAATAGGTCTTTTCTATAGTAGTCGGATCTTTTATAAAGTATAAAATATTTGGGACAAATTATTCAAAAATTCAAACAAGATAAATACACTACAATGAAGGGAGTATTACTTTTTTTTCTCTTGTTTTTGGATGGTTCTAATTGTGTTTGAAACTGTTACAAAATGATGTCATCACAAAATTCATGCACCTCAATGAAGCAATTTTTACAAGATTTCAAAAGAATTAAATAAACTCATTTATATATAAATATATATATATCCACATATTAATATCTAAACATTTGTTTTTTTCTTTTTTACAAATATAATATTTCCCCATTTAGTTATATATCTATTTTTGTTAATTAATTGCATCAAGTCTCCTCGGAGAAATGGGTTAAGCCTCCTGCATTCAGGGCGTTGGTAACCGCCGCATGGCAAGCCCCCACCGCCTTCTCCGCCTCATCTTGAACCTTGAATGGCCCCACACTCATGTCCACCTATCCATGAAGAAAAAAATGTCACACATTATCAATACACTAAATAGCACTAAAATTTAAGTCATTTCCTTAAATAACACTTAAATTGTTTTATTCCCTAAATAACACTTAATAATATTCATAATGTCCTGTGATGACGAATATTTACTTGAATAATGACTAATGCATAATGACTAAAAGTGCTACATTTGGAAGAAAAACACATGTGGTGCTATTTAGGGAAAGTCATTATGTTTTAGTGCTATTTAAGTAAATTTCTCATTATAATATTAGGACTTTTTTAAAGGAATTATAATATTAGGACTTATTATTTTTTCTTAAAAAGAAGGGACTTATTTTTAATACAATTTGATATCAATTTTTTTTTTGACTCAAAAGTCACGAGTTCAAAACTCATTGCTAACAGTGTTAAAAAGTTAATGTTTACGTGCAAGATTCGAAGAAAATCGTGAGTTCGAACACAATCTCAGTGTCACACCACTTTTTTAAAAAGTTAATGTTTACTAATTCATCTTCTCGTTTGTTTTTTCTGTGTGTTTGGACAAAAATATCCTTCTTTTTTTCTGTCTGATTTTGATTTTCTCATTTCTCATGTTTAATCATTTTTTAGTAATAGTATTTTGGACAAATCTACCAAAAAATCATCCTCTATAAAAAGAGAAATCAAAAGAAGAAGATTAAATCCGGAAGGAGAGAGGATAAGACTATATAGAAGAACTAGTATTTCACTCGTGCGTTAAATTTTTTACCTTGAAGTGATTGAGGGCCCCGCTGCACTCGAAGATCCCGGCCCAGGCGGAGTAGACGACGTTGTCGGTCCTGGCGTAGACGCCGCTGCGGATGCGCTTGACGGAGCGGCGCAAGTTGTGGAGGGCGTACTCGAAGCCGCTGTGGCATTTGTCGTCGATGTTCTCCCGGTCGGACTCCGGGACGGTCGGCGGCAGGGCGGAGCCGATCGACCGCGCCGCGTACTCGGCCGACTTCACCTTCTTGATGGTCGCCTTGATCACCGCGACGACGGCCTTCTTCCACTCTGTCTCTCCCTGCAGGGCCTCGCCGCAGAAGGCGGCCTGTTCGGCCGGCAGGCCGTCGCAGAACGGTTGGTGGGCCAGGGCTGGTGTTTGGCATGCCACGAGGGTTAATGTTATGAAGGCCAAAGAGACCATTGTGAAAGAAATTTGGTTTCTTGAAGCCATATTTTTATATATTTTTTTTTAAAAAATAAATGTTTCCCTCTCAAAATGGTCTTTTATTTTATTTTGATGGGGAAACTTATTTATTTATTTATTTAAAAACTTTCTGATTTGAAAGAGAGGTATAATGAGATATATATATACACATGTTAGCTAACCAGAAATTGCATGGCTGGATGGGCTTGATTTTCTCTTCATTTATTTCTCTTCGCCACAAATTATCAGCTCGGAAATTAAGGATCCAGAGACATTATATTATATTATTTTTAAAAAAATAATAATATATTTGTGGTGGCGATTATATAAAGTGTTGGTCAATTTGATTTGTTTTTGGTTAAATTTGGTAAATTTTGATCATCTTTGGTATAGAATGACAAAAAAAAACACCTACTATGGGCATTGTTTGGAAAATAACATCAGTCAAAAAAAACAAAAATAAATCAATTTGTCAATATTCAAATGGGACAATTACAGTATTATATTGCGAAGCATATTCAATTATACTTTCTGTGTTTAAAGAATTTGTCCAGTTTAATTTTTGGACCGTATTGAATAAACTTTAAACGTCAATTACTTTAAATTTGTATTTTCTATTCATATAATAAAATAATTTTCTGCTAGTTTTTCCGTTAGATAAATCTAAATTTATCATTTTTGTACGAATATGCAATACGAATTTTATACCCCATTTAATTGATGACTAAAGTTCATCTAATTGGACTAAAAAATTCAAACCGGATGAATACTCAAGACCGCAATATAAATAATTAACCAATAATCAATTGTCATTTTTCATCAAACAAATCAAATATTTTATTTGGATCACCTTCATCATATTCGGCCCGTATGATGAGAAGGAACGGACTTGACCGGCCCAAATACTATTTCACATTGTTGCAAACTTGATGAAAGAAGCGTTCAAGGGAAGTATGGGAAGATCCACCTTTCATGAGAGCCAAACGGCTTCTTTCCTTCATTTCTCCCGCCTTTAACCTAATGGGATTTGTGGGATCCATGAGACTTTCGATTCCCATTTCTATCTCTTTTGCCCTCACAAGTGTATTTGAGACCTTGTTTGGATACTCCATTTTGTAGTCCATTTTGATGTCCACACCCACACCTATCTCTCCAACCACATGGAACGCGTTTGCCTGTTGCTCGCCGTAGATCGGCCACGCCGCTATCGGTTTCCCGAACCAAATGCTTTCGAGTATCGAGTTCCATCCGCAGTGGGAGACGAAGCCTCCTACTGCGGGGTGTCCCAGTATGGCCGCTTGTGGGGCCCAGCTCACCACCACCTTCCCCTGCCCTCCTTCTGTCCTTCTCAAGAACAATTCTAGCCACGAGACTTCATGGGGCGGCCGCATGGCCCACACGAACCTCTGCTTGCTATCCTCGAGAGCATGAGCGATCTCATTTAGTTGTTCCTCTGGAAAGAAACCCACACTTCCGAAGCAAAGAAAGACCACAGAAGATTCCGGTTGACTGTCCAACCATTCATATACTTCCTCTTTCTCAAAATAAAACTCCTGTATATATACAAAGATATACTATATAGTAATATTTAACTAAGATTAACTTCAGTTCAATATTCATTAATTTCCTTACAATGGTAAATTTCCATCATTTTTCATTAGATTAACACGCTTCCATTCTTAGTAAAGAAAAAGAAAAGAAATGGTATATCCATTTTACCATGTGTATCTATGACTCGATCATAATATCATCTCCATTATTGATCATAGTGTAATTCATTATATTTCTAGAAATAAAAAAGGTAAAGACAATAAATATTTGAATTCTTTTTAAAAAAATTGCATAAAACGGATTTAATTTTCCTATTTCTCTTTTGATTAGTTTAGGTTATCAAAGATAAATTAAAATATACTTCCTCCGTTCCTAATAACATGAGGGTTATTGATTTTTAAGAGGTCTAAGTCAAGTATATTTTGGTATATATTAAAATTCTAAAATAAAATTGATGTCATGGGTTAAAGTAAGATTTGATTGGTAGATTATTAATGAAAACGTATGATGTGATAGGGCATGAAAAAGTAAAGAGTAAAAGTGACTTTTTAATATAAATTAAAAGTATTGATAGGAAGAAATACCTTATTTTGGGATTGAGGGAATATATAATCCTCTTCTTCTCCTAGATTTGGAGAATTGGCCTCTTCCGCGGAAAGATCCCGGAGGTTTAGCACCGGTCCGACGGTGTAAACCGGCGGGGGAGAGTTTGAGTAGTGGTCCCCACACAGGGATTTAACGGCGTGAGGTTCGAGCTCAAGAAACGTGTTGACAATAATACCCTTCGCCTTGTTCCTTATTTTCCTGAAGAGATCAAGAATCAAATCACAGCCGCCATTTCTGTCCAGCATGATCGACGGCAGTAGCTTCGCCGGAAACGGCCGGACATAAGTGGGGACATTCAGATAATCGGAATCCACGCCGCAGCCGCCGTGCTCTGTCGCCTCTCCGCCATTCTCCTCCGCGAGGCTCAAAAGGTGGAGCTGAAGCCCGAGCGCCGCCGCGCCGGACGTGTAGAAGACATAGTACGGGAGATTAAACTCCTCCGCCACATCGGCGGTCATGCCGGCACACAACACGTCTGGTACAAAGAAAATACAATAATGTAGAAACCACCGGGTTTGCAACGTTTGACAAACATGCACACACAATGATTATCTATGTGTTACACAAAAATTGTTTGTATACATCTCCATATTTTTTATATTATTATTAGAACATGTGTTATTATGAGTTTGGATGGAGCTTGACAATGTGTAAAAAATGTATAATGTGGAGTAATGAAGGCATCTGTGTTGTTATAGTGGGTGTGAATAAAAGTGATCGATGAGGCTGGTGTGAAGATGTGTTAAATTTTGATTAATTTGAAATAAAAAAAATAGGAAAAAGAAGGTCAACGCTCATGACCACCATCAAACACTCTTTGTCACGCCTCCGTCATGCCATAGGTGTCATGGTGGTCTAGTCATGATGCCTTCTTCACGCTGGTGGGTCAAGCCTCACAACACATGATCTTAGTATTATGTGAAATTTGTACTAAATTGAAGTAAATCTTGAAGCTTTAATTTTAATAAAATAACTTTTGAAAAAATACTACACTGATGGGTACGTATGCAAGTTACTAAAAAATAAAAATGTCTCCTATATACATAAAAAAAATATTTAATCCTACCCAAGGAAAAGTAAGGTCAATTATACAAGTATGACACAACTTTTTACCTGCTATAAACCCTAAAACCTTGAAATCTCTCGAACCCATCATTGTTTTCACATGGTCTCTAACTTGAGCCCCGTGAGAATCAATGAAGAGACCTAGAAAGTTGCTTGGGTTACTGTTCATCTCAGCTAAGTTTGGACTTAGGGTTTTCACATTCAGTCTTATCGACGCGGAATTGATGACGAGTGAGCGGAAGTACGAGGCGAGTTTTGGATCGTCGAAAGGCGGGTTCATGGCGAGGAATGTGATGGAGAGAAGGTTTTGTTTGTGAAGGAGGAGCTTGGCAAACTCCATTGTTGGTACGAGGTGACCTATTGCAGGTGAGCAAAGAAAGATGAACATGCTAGGTTGCTTCATTTGCATTTCCATCTTTTCTTTCTTCTTCTTCTTTCCATTGTGTTTATGAGCATGCTTATATGGCATGCGTTTGTAGGGTGGGGGCAGGGGGGGTGGGTGGGTGTGGCTCGCTGGGGAAGGGTTTAGGGATGTAGTTAGGGGATACGAACAATCAGTTTTACGAACGGAACACATTCAGTAGATACGTCAAACGGAGTGTTGTACAATTGTTGTAATTTTTTTGTAAGACTAAGGCTCCTTTTATGTGTGTGTGTGTGTGCGCGCGTGTGTGTATATACCCCCTTCGTCCCAAAGACTCTTTAGTTTCCTCTTTCAATATTTTGGTGTCCAACAAACTCCTTTTCTTTTCGTGAAAAAGACACGTGTACCACTACTTTACACAATTCATTGATTTGATTATATCCACTTTTTGTTTGGGGCATGGGGTACTATATGGAAAGGTCAATGGTAAAATGACATGAGTAATTTACTTAAATAATACTCCGGTACTAAAACATAATGATTTTTCCTAAATAACATCATTTATGTTTTTTTCCAATGTAGCTATTTTAGTCATTATCTATTAGTCATTATTCAAGTAAATGTTCGTCATCACTGGACATTATTCCTTCTTCTGGACATGATTAAGTGTTATTTTGGGAATAAAACAGTTTAAGTACTATTTGGAGAAATGACTTAAGTTTTAGTGCTATTTAGTGCAAATATTTCAAATAACATTTCCTTATTTTTACTCCCTTTCTGTCCCACAAAATCTTTCTTCTTTTTTTTATCCGTCTCAAAAAATCTTTCTCATTTCTATTAAAAAGTCATTTTTATCCCTACTAACTCTTAACCTACCTATCACATTACCTTTTTCTTTATTAATCTACCCATCGCATCTACTTTTACCATCATAACCAACATCATTTTTGAAAACTCAACACTAAAATACACTCGCTTTAAATTTTTTAAAAATCAATATCAGAATAGTTTTACGGGATGAGAGAATATTAAAATCAAAATGTGAATTTATACACCGAGTACGTATTTGTGTGTGTCTGTGTGTTAGGAAAGATATGCTGCAAAGTTTTCACAAGTCTTTTAAAAAGAGAAACGTGAACATGTGATACAGTGCTTTTATTGTGGCCTCATGACACAAAATTTGAGTGGATTTCTTAACTTAAAAAAAACTTCTTTATATTTCTTTTAAATACTTTCTCCATCTCAAAAATTCAAAATTCTTTTACGTTTCAAAAAAATAGTGTCTCACAATCTCTTACTCATATCTACTCTATTAAAAAAACATTTTTACCCTTAATTTTTTTAAATAATCCACATATCATATCATATATTTACTCATCACATCAAGAATATTTTTGAAAAATCAACACAAAATTATTTCTCCTTTAATTTTTCACTTTAGTCAAAATGTCCTTAGCTATCTTTCTGGGAACGGGAGTATTTATTTAGTTCGTTCACATGGAGGTCCACTATGAGTTAAAGTCAACAATTTTCATATCCGATAAGGAGTAGTACTTTTTTATTTAATACTCCCTCCGTCCACAAATAAACTTTACATTCTCTATTCATAGGGTCAAACTTTATTCACTTTGTTGACCTATTTTTGTCACCCATTTGATAAAATAATATAGTCATGTCACCTCTAGTTTTGTAGATCTTTTGATATAGTTTTTTAATGTGTAATTTTTATTTTTCAATTCTACACCATTTTTCATATAAAATGATTTGAAAATAACTTCAGTCAAACATCGTAACGCGCAATGTAAAGTTTATTTGTGGACGGAGAAAGTATTTTTATTGTTATTTGAGTTTTTTTAACGACATCATGTGAAAAAATAAAGAGTAATGCTAGAGTCACAAACTACTGGGACACAAATTACACAAACTTGCTATTTTTGTATTTTTCCAATTGAATAAAGTGATATTAAATGCTTACAAAATGAAAATTGAGATACATAAATAGCAAGTTTGTGTAATTTGTGTCCCAGTAGTTTGTGACTCTAGCATTACTCAAAAATAAATTGAGATGGGATACATATTGCCATTCTAAAACTTTGATCATAAATATACTTTGGAAATGAGGGAAATAGTACTTTCGTTCAAACTTCTAAAAGGTGCATACCATTGGTGTGATCTTAGTCTTTTAAATCCTTATTTTTGCAAGACCAATATATTCAACATTATGACGCTACTTTAATTTAAAAACAGTAATGAGCCCATTTGGGAATAACGTTTTCGATTAGCGTTTTGAATACTACCTTCGTCCATAAATAAACTTTACGTTCACTATTCACATGGTCAAACTTTATTAATTTTGTTGGCCTATTTTCGTCACTCATTTGATAAAATAATATAGTCATGTCACCTCTAGTTTTGTAGATATTTTGATATAGTTTTTTAATATGTAATTTTTATTTTTCAATTCTACACCATTTTTCATATAAAATGATTTGAAAATAACTTCAGTCAAACATCGTAACACGTAATGTAAAGTTTATTTGTGGACGGAGGGAATAAAATTTAAACGGTGCAGATTAACCTTGAAAATGCTAACACTAAAGACTGGTCGTAGATAGTGAGCCCGTTTGAGAATATCATTTTTGATTAACGTGAGCATTTTAGATAAAATTTTAATGGTACAAGTAAATTTTGAAAATGCTAACGTTAAACGCTGCCTATAGAAAACCTTTTCAAAACCTCTTGCGTTATTCCCAAACAAAACCAACATTTTCAAAACGCTAACCCTAATCTCTAATGCTATTCCTAAACAGGCTCTATGTAATTAGTGGCTGGGATTTACGAGAGCAATACAAATGTATGAAATTTTATATCTCGAACATCAATTTTTGTAAGAGATGTTTAGTGAGATAAAAAAGAGCTCAAATTTGAAAGGCTTCATAGACCTCTTATATATACATTGATTATAGAAATACTACTTCCAAATGTCCTTGTTTGGGAATAACATTTTGATACGAATATCGTATCGGATAGGAAAAAACTTCGAGCTCTTCAAGCTCCAAGAAGAAAGATAGAGAAAGATGAAAACTTCGAGCGTTTCCGGGCTCCAAGAGAATAGAGAATGAGATTAGGGTTTTGATATTTCTTTATTGATTGAATAATAATAATAATAACAATAATACGAAAGTACAATATACAGAGATACGAGAAACCCTAATTAACCTAATGGGCTTGGGCCTAAAACCTAATCATAAGTACCTATATAATGCTACTAATTAATAAATAACTAATTAAATAATATAATTCATCTTCTGTATCACATTTTTTATTAGCGTTGACGAGTGGAGGGAGAATGTCTTGGTTCCTTTGTTTAAGAGTAAGGGTGACATTTAGAGTTGAAAAAATTACAGGTAGAGGCATCAAATTAATTAGCCACACAATGAAAGTTTCAGAGCGTGTCATTGACTTTTGGTTTCATGCCCGATATACCGACCACAGAGGCCATTTTCCTTCTACGAAAGTTGATGGAAGGGAATAGGGCTAAGAGGAAAAATATTTATTTGGTGTTTATTGACCTCAAAAAGGCGTATGATAATAGAGTGTCGAGGGAGATCCTGTTGAGTTGCCTTGAATCAAGAATGGTTCCGATAGCATACACTCGTGCAGTCAGAGATATGTAGTATGCACTACAAGGCTAGGACTGAGTTAAGGTAAAGACTATTGGGAGAGACTCGTAGCCTTTTACACGAGAAAAATACGTCATGAATTAACTTATAAGTAAAAATAAATTATAAATAATTTTAACCATAAGCACAAAGAAATAATACTTTGTTTAAGACTATGGCTTTTGCTTTAAGAGTAAACTCTTTGCATCTCCACCACATATGTAGACATGTGACTTTCTTTTGTCTTTTTTTACTACATAAAGTAATCATTTTTCCACTTTTTGTTCGCATGCCATTCGATTCCTTTAATTGAGTACGAATGGGAACTTGACATCTAGGATGACCAGCGGAACGGTACGGGTTTTATACGGTTCTGTGTTTTGTTCTATTTTTTTAACGATTCGGAATGGTTTGGGCCACAATCTTATCTCTCTTTATCCCTTAATATTTAAGATCGAGATAAAACAAAATAGGTTTGGTGTGTCCTGCTTTGTCATCGTCCAAAATTAGATACTCTGTATAAAAATATAAAATACATAAGGGGACAAAACCCACTTTTACTTGTAAAATAATGAAAAAATGATATACTATGTCTTAGAAAATCCAAAAGAATGAATAAGAAAAAATGTTACAACATACATCAAAAGTTAAAATTATAAACTGTATAAAAACAATGAGCCACAAATTAGGGTGGGGTGGGTCAAAACGGTCTAGATTTTTAGGTGTTCCCGTCTTAGTTTTTTTGAATATTTAAATTTAGATATTTATTTGTATCTATCTTGGGAAAAACAAAAACTGTGATATTTTTTGTGGTATATCATTATATACATAAATAAATAGATATATACACATATACGGGACAACATGATGGAATGAGAAAATATAATATTTATGTTTCCTGTCCCGTCCCATTTTAAAACGGGTTGGAACAGATTTGGGATAAAATTTTGTCATCACAAACAAAACGAAATATTATAAAGACGAGATAGAGATATTTCAAGTTCGGACAACGAGTTTAGAATTTTTGCCCTCCCCTATTGACATCTCTGATCCTTGAGAGCATATGGATCATGTGATTATGATTTGTCATTTTTGTTTTACTCGTGTTTCATTTTTTTCAAAGGAATCAAGCTTTAAAAAATTCAGTGGGGTTTCTATGACATTAAAACCCCATGTCATGCGATGACCCGGGGTTGCTTCTAAAAGAAATCACCCTACGTAGCAGTCTAAATCACTCAATATTACGCATATAGCAATTCTTAATCTTTTATACGAATTTAACTATTTATAGTATCAATATCTTCCAAACATACCCTCTACCTTTTATTATATTCTACTATTTTTAATTACTTCTAATTATTCGATTAAACTTAGGTTATTCACGTAGCCACTCCTCCTCATACATGCAGCTCCTCCTCATTCGTGTGTCTCATATGTGCGAAAACATCATCCTACGCCATTTACCATAACTCTGCGAGATCCTCCTCCTACACAGTTTACTAATATATAATGTCTAAACAAGTTCGTACGTATTAAATTAAGTTCCATATTTAACACCCATGTTTGGCAAGTGTGTTTTGGTATAATAGATTATTCATGAAATCCGTTATACATTTTTAGACAGTGTGAAATTCATACATGAAAATAGTCTTACATATTTTTGGTAGTGTGAAATTCATACATGAAAATAGTGTAGAATTCATACATAAAAAGAGTTATACATTTTTTTGACATTGTGAATTTTTTGGGCAGTATGAAATTCATCATACAAGAAAACAGTTATACACTTTTTGACAGTATAAAATTCATACATGAAAACACCGCGACTAAATCAATGGACATTATACTCCAACATGAAATTAAGGAACACAATAATACATTTACACATTGTCTTAAGATATAACAATATACATTCATTCTACACTGACACATTAAATACTCAGATATAAAAAACTACACTGTCCACTACACAGTTACAAATGAACAATCACACTGCCCAAAATAGTCATATTTTTTGGCAGTGTGTAATGAACATTTGTTGTTTAATTAAAGGACAAAACCAGAATCACAGATACGAAACATATAGCACTGCTATTGAAAGTATTTTAAGGATGTAAGAGTGATATTTTGGGTTTTCTCCCTGCTTCTAACCCCCTAACTCACTCCTGTAAACCCTCCCACCCGCCCCGACCCGTCCACACCCCCACTTCCTTCAATTGCACCCCATTTTGACTCCAAAGTCAAAATTAACTTGTGCAGTGCAATTGAAGGGAGTGTGTAACACCCTAATCTGTCCAGGTCTGCAGCCCCTTTCAGATTAAAGTATTAACTTGGTAATCGTAAAAATTTAAAACATTTCAAACACTTTTATTTATCACAATAATATTTTTCATAATATAAACAGTACGGAGTTTTCAATATTGCGGAAGCTTAACAATCATAATCACAAACATAATTTATTTATGTTCTTTAATTCAAAACCATCACATCCATTCCGGCAATCTCGCCTCCGTCTGCCTCCAGGATCACGTCACTTCATTAACCTGTGTGTAGCAAATAAAACATACTACACGCTCAGCGTTGAAGCTGAGTAAGCATATCTAATGCATCGAACATCCATATAAACTGAATCTAAATTCATAATCAAATCATTTGATATCATGCACATAATGTTCAGTTCAGATAATCAATAATTATTAAAAATTATTCATCATGCATTATTCAACATTTATATTCACATTCAATGTTCATCAGTCATTCATAATAATTGCAATATTCAATTCAATATTCATCATTCAATATTTACTCATATTCAATATTCAATATTCAACATTCAACAATATCCTTAAACTATTCTTAGTCTAAGGCCAATCACTTTAATATTTGTCAACC